CTTTGGTGCTCTCAGCCTTCCTTGTGGTCCAACTTTCACAGCCATCCATTGCAACTGGGAAAACCGTAGCCTTGACTATACATACTTTTGTTGGCAGGATTATGTCTCTGCTTTTTAGGAGGCTGTCTATATTTGCCATCACTTTCCTCCCCAGGAGAAAGCCTCTTTTGATTTCTTGGCTGCCGTCCCCATCTTGGAGCCCAGGAAAATAAAATCTGTCACCTCCTTTTCTTCCCCATCTATTTGCCAGGAATTGAGAGGGCCGGATGCCATGATCTTAGTTTTCTTAATGTTGAGTTTCAAGCAAACTTCTGTACTCTCCTCCTTCACCCGCATCCAGAGGCTTAGCGCGGGGCAAACTCACTTGACAAGTGTCTCACTTAGCAACATAAACACTGGCTCAAGTCTGGCCATAAGTCTTAAGACTATCCTGTATTATTTTATTCCTCATTGAATGATACTTAAATAGCACCTTGTGCTAATTGGATTACTCACTAATACTTTCCATTTTATTTTATATTTTTTTTTTGCTTAATAACCCCCCCAAAAAACTCACCTCCAACAAACAGCTCAATCCCTCCAGCTTCTTCTATTTTCTTTTCAAAGGCGTCGCATTCGGCTTTCAGATCCGGCGCGTTCCCGTCGAGAATGTGAGCGTGGTTTGGATCTATATCAATGTGCTTAAAAAAATTGTTCCACATGTAAGAATGGTAGCTCTCTGGATGATCCCTGGGAAGCCCTGGAACCAAAGCAGACCGGTTTAATTTCCTGGAACTCAAAATAATAATAATAATAATAATTAAAGGGACGTGGAATGGATTGAAGCATGCAACTCTGTCCCATGTTGAATGAACACTGGTATTTGGGAAGGATTTGGGTCTGGCTAGCCTAGGGAAATGGGACGCAGTGGCTAAGACGCTGAGTTTCTCAATCAAAAAAGGTCGGCTGTTCGGCGGTTCGAATCCCTAGCGCTGCGTAACGGAGTGAGCTCCCGTGACTTGTCCCAGCTTCTGCCAACCTAGCAGTTCGAAAGCACCGTAAAAATTGCAAGTAGAAAAATAGGAACCACCTTTGGTGGGAAGGGAACAGCGTTCCTTGCACCTTCAGTATTGAGTCATGCCGGCCACATGACCACAGAGANGAGAAAGGAAAAGGGGAAAAAAGAAAGAAGGAAAAGAAATGAAGAAGGGACAAGGAAAGGGAGGGGAAAAGAGAAAGAAAAAAGGATGGAGAGAGAAAAAGGAAGGAAAAATGAGAAAGGAAAAGGGAAAAAAGAAAGAAGGAAAAGAAATGAAGAAGGGACAAGGAAAGGGAGGGGGAAAAGAGAAAGAAAAAACGATGGAGAAAAAGGAAGGAAAAATGAAAAGAAAAGGGAAAAAAGAAAGAAGGAAAAGAAATGAAGAAGGGACAAGGAAAGGGAAGGAGAGAAAAAGGAGGAGGGGAAAAGAAAGAAGAAAAAGGGGAGGAAGGAAGGGAGAGAGAAAGAAAAAGGGAAGAAGAGAGGAAAAGAAAGTGGGAAAGGAAAGAAGGAAAAGAAGAAATGAAGGGGGGAAAGAAAACAAAAAGGAAGAAGAGAGCACAAGCTGTCTCTTCAGAAACTTTTCAAAAAAGTACAATTGCTTGTAAGACGGTTGCTGAGAGTGTAAACATATCTAATTTGTAAAATCCCTGCTTCTCCGTTAACAATCCCTGTCCAGGGGCCGAGATCGAAAGCAGCAAAGAAGTATTTTTATTCCAGTCACAGAGCCAGAAGAAAGTCCAGATGGCCATAATAAGGTTATCACAGCTGCCTTCCCACCTAATTAAAAAAATAAGGTGGAAGCGAAATTGCATTGGTGCGGCTTCCCTCGGGGTCTTTTTTTTAACACATTCTGCAAAGACCCCCTGCCAGAAAGTTAAATTCTCCCTCTGGGCATCTGATTTAAGCGTCTTCTCTTTACTCTGAATTGTTGCATCTTTTCAGCCCCTGTAAATATGCTGTGGGGGGAAAGGCAAAAAAAGAAAAAGGCTTTTGACAGTGTTGAGTGGAATGTTACACACACATATTTTGGACCGCGAGGAAAACAAAACCACAAGCCCTGGGTTTCAAAAGACCCTCGGTTTTAGCCAACGTTTCACCATTCTCCCTAGCAGTGGTGCTCCCCAAAACACACAAGCCAGAGTCCTCCCCAAAAACGACGCCGGTGTGGTCCTTCCTCTCCCATCAATTTTGCTCTTTCATGCTGCGTAGAGGTTCCACAAGCTTGTTATGCACGTGCATTAAACCTTGAGGATAAAAGGAAAAAACAAAACCGAATCTCCCATTAGTCATATTGCTAGTTAACATTATTTCATTCATTGCACGTAATACAACTGAGCCCAAAATCAAAAACGTCGCTAAGCGAGACATTGGTTAAGCGAGTCTTTCGCCTTTCTGGGCCATACTGGTTGTTAAGTGGATCCCTGAGGTTTTTAAGTCAGTCACACGGTTGTTAAGTGAGTCTGGCTTTCCTCATTGGAAGGGAAGGTTGCATACGTAAGTCACATGACCATGGGCACGCGGCAACGGTCGTAAGTGTGAAAAACGGTGCTAAGTCAAAGACGGAAAGTCCCTGAAATACTGTCAATACTTACTTATTTTCTCGACATCAGTGTTTCTCATCCTATCAAGAGCTGAGGTGGCGCAGTGGTTAGAGTGCAGCACTGCAGGCCACTTCAGCTGACTGCAGTTCGGCGGTTCA